GGGAAAGAAAAGTAATCTTGCTTTTTAAGTTCTGTAGACAGTGGACTATTTCCAGAATTAATTCAGGTATGCATTCAGGAACACTGAAATACTATCTTTGGAATATCTAAGTAACACCTACTGTAACAAATCAGGAGAAAGGCTGCACAGCTGTTGAGTAGTTAGGAAACCTGGCATAATGCCCACGTCCATACAGACTCAAGATAGCAATGCAGATACTGTAAAGATATATTTAATCAGATAATGACGAAGAATTAGATTTCTTCTTAAAGGAGAGAAGAAGAAGGAAAAAAGAGATAACCCAGTCACTCCTTAGAAGCGTTACCAGCTGAATCCAGCGTTCAAAGGGAGTATCGATCCCAGAAAGGTCATTAATCACTACACTCTCAGTCAAATGACCTTGGCCAGTGACCTTGATAAGGCTGAATTCTCCTACTGACAGAGCAATGAATTACTCTGTACAAACACAGAACAGTACAACACTCTGGAACAAAAACAAGGTGCAATTTAACCAGAAGATATTAAGGAACGCTTAACTGGCTAAATAATGAGTGGCTTTAAAGAAATGAAGTAGATAAAAAAGCCACAGCTCATTTGAGCTTTCCTGGTTTTGCTGTCTTCCTTTTCATTCCTTTCCAATTCACTCTAGGTTTAGGTCATGGGTATTTTTGCCTGTTCTTTAACTGACTTTATTAAAGTGAGGCTATTCCTTCAATTTTCACTGGAGCAAACATTCAGTACTTTTCAACTTGGCAGCTCATATAAAAAAATAAAATGGCAATATGATATGAGTGGCTGTTTTTCAATATTAATTATTTGATTCATGGCAGTGCGTAGCTGGCCCAGGAACTGGTAAAGATTTCATTGTGGTTTCCTTTGTATAAATTCCAAACATATATGATACTTCAAGTGAATTGTTTTTAATGGGCCATTATCTTATTTTAATATTATTTCTTCTATCAGAAGATAAAATAACCTGTGTATGGAAGTTTCTCCCCAGAAACTGGGACATCACCATCACTTTAGAAACACTGTCTAGCAAGAATTGTGCAGAATTCAGTTGTGAAACGCAGATCTGCAAGACCAGAAACAGTAAAATTTAACAGGGAAGGTGAGGGAAAGATCACAAGAAAAAAGTGCTTCAGTCCCTAACAGAACATACTGTAAACATTAAGAAATTCAGCAAACTTGTGGAGAAAAAGAACAAGCAGTATCTCCAAATAATGTGCCTTCATATACCTCTACTACATCCTAACATTAACAGAATGTCCTCATACAACATTTCCCACACCATCAGCTTTCTGTGTTTTCTCAGTCACGAGGAATGAAGCAAACAGAAGAACAGTTAATTTGTTTCTTGCTAGACACAGCTCAGAGACTGGCATATGGAACTCCTTTTACATTAACACCAAAAGACGCAGTTATGAGTTAGAAGAGGATGTATTGGTAAACCTGTCCTATGTCTGGTTCAGACAACATAAATATTAAATAATGTAGATTGATAGCATAATTTGGACTTCTGTGTTTACCAACATCTATACTTACTGCAAAAAATAATAATTACTATTAAATATGGTAGCAAATGTAATAACACTAATTACTATTGCTACTGGTTCCTCCTATTATACACATACAAAAGGAAAAGGGGAGGAGGGGGGAAGTAACAATGTGGTCTGTTCCAGGATATGGAGCATCAGCAATGTCAACATTTTGGTCAATTACATAGACTAGACATATTCAAAACTGTGAGGTGGTACCTAGCCAAAGCCAGTGCCCTGTTTACTCTCTCCTCGAGGCCTGTGGTTCCCAGTGCTTTCCACATCAGCCAGAATTTGAACGCATCTGGACGTCTGCTGCACTGAATGGACTTGTCACCAGTGTCATAGCTGACATCGTAGAACTTGTCCTGCTGGAATAGGTATGCGGCCTCGGCAGAGTAACACTTCTTCAGGAGGCCCTATTAGGAACACAACAGAGCCTTAGATTGCTGATGAGCATTTTCAAACTTCTATCTTCACATGCCAAAGCCTTTTTTTCCTGCCTGTACCAACAGCTTAAAACAAAACTGAATGTGCAGGAAACCATTCAAAGTTAATAGTGTGGTTTAAGAAACCCAGATGAACCTGACCGAGTGAAGTCAGCTCTGAAAACACAAGGAAACTTCTCTCTTTTTATTATTTTCTTCATGATGTCCCTGAAGAGTTGCAGGTTGAAGAGGAATTCTGACTCAGATCTCAAGAAACCATGGGAGTAGGTACCAGAGAAAGAAGTGCCCAAGGGCATACAATGGCTGGAAGAAAGAAAGAGGAAGAGAAGCCTATGTCCACTGCTCCAATCTTGGAAGACTAGCCCCTGAGGAGGTTTCTGCATGTTCACAAATGGATTAATCTGTTCCTTCTTCATCAAAGAACTTTATATACAGCACAGTTAGTTGCAGTTAGAGAAGATTTTAGCCCCAGGAAATAAATGTTTAGCCCTTACCAGAAAATAAAGTTGCTGAGGATTTAGTATAGACTATATGACAGTTTGAGCGGAAACACCATGACAAGATTGGTACAACCTCCATTTTTGTCTCTTTTTCACAGTTTAGACAATTTCAACGTTTGACAATATGCCTGAGAAAAGGTACTTTAGCACACCCTGATTATGGTTTGTTAATGAAATTCTTTTTATTCAGCAATTTCCAGCCTCCAGCTTCTGAGAGGCTGCCCAGGCAGAAATGAGCAGCAGAAACAAAGATAAATGAGTAACATGGCAAGTTCCAGATAAAGAAAAGAACCTAGAAAACAGAAAGCACAGAGGCTGTTACAGGTTTAAAGGTGCAGAGGAAGAGAAGAGGCATAGCACTGGTCATTGGCTAAAGAATGAAATATAAAAGTACAGTCTGTAATACTATGAAGTAGGGAGAAGGGCTGGCAGAACACAGGTTACAAGAGCAGAGATGAGGGTGACCTACGAGGAGCCCAGGAGACAAAAAAGGTTGTAGATTTGTCAGTAATATTAGAAGAGGGTAAGAAAAATAAACCACAATCTGTAAGATAATGCTAGAATAGATACTTAGATGAGGTTAAAAACATAACTACAGCATCTGATTCAGATCTGCAAACATGTATTTAAGTGACAGTTGAACCAGAAGTCTTCCGTGCAGAACAGACCAAGGAACAGAAGTGGACAGCATGACAGAAATTGCTAAACAGTATCTCAAAGAGCACAATCCATTTTCCAATTCAACATCACTCTTCAAATTGAACCAGCTGAAAAAGCATTTCATATTTCACCCTTTCCTCTGCATGTTTTGCAACTCTGATTTTAAAATGGCAGCATCTGACACCACTCTTAAAGTGTCACATTCCTGTAACAGAGGTACAGTTCTTGATCCACATTACAATATACTACTGGTAACATTGGAACTGGCAATAAAATAGAGAAAAAATGTCAAGACAAAAAAATCCAAGGGCAAAATAAACCACTGGCATACACGGAGTAAGTGTCCCTCCTTCCCAGCCTTTTCCCTCCACCAACATGAGAAACAAAGCAAAAAGAAAAACCCACCTGCACACCTATTCTTAGAGCACAAAAGGAGAACACCAAAGGTTTCTCCACAACTTCTGTAGGGGTTTGAAGACCCCATTGTAATATTGCCAGTTTTTGAAAAGGACAGAGAATTCAGCCTGAACTCCTTAGCATAGGACCAGCACTCAGCCTTGTGAAAAAAAAAAAATAGTTTATGTGATAGCTTGGGGAAAAAAAGGGGCAGTGGCTGCTCTCCCTCTGCAGCCATCAGAGAGATAACGTGCTGCTGCAGCACACAGTAACCATAGCTGAAAGCCAATGCTGGACGCAGTTTTCTGTGTGGTATATAAGATTCTCACACCTACTTCCCAACTTCCTCAGAAAAAGGCAGGCAAGAAAGTGATATTAGAAACCAAAGAAAAGTCAAGCACTTGGTCTACACAATCCACCTATTTTTTGGTTTTTCTGCTTTGTGTTCTCTGGCTAGCAGCTGCACAACAGGAGCAGGAATCTTTGTCAAGCCATTGTGCCCTTTTCATTTAGATCTCCATACCTTGATTTTCAGGGGAAACTAAATTTTACTAGACATTGTATTAAAATATATACATATATAAAACAAAACAAAAAAAAGGCAGCAACATCCACAAATTTAAGTTAATTGCTTAAAATCTTACTGACTTTAAAATTTTGCAGTGTTTCTGCCGTGAGTAGATAGCAGGGCTGATCAACGTGCAACTATCTTCTGCCTTATCAAAATGTAATATAGCTGCACAATAGAGGACATCACTGGGTATTAGTTCCCCTCATGCCTGTTGCCTGAGAAATAATAACTTCTGTTTGCCACAAAAAACCTAAACTCTGTTGGTAATATTACAGAAAGAAAGACTGAGTTCACTTAAGATCACAGTACAGCTGCAGAGTTTCATAGTTTAAAAACAAATGCTCTAGAGTGAAAACGCAACAAGAACAAATAGTTCAATATCTCTGAGTGAACTCAAATTCCTGGGAACACATTTCATCTAAAAAAAAAAAAAAAAAGGCAGGTACTGTCCTACTCTCCTGCTCTCCTGGTGCGTTTGAAGCTGACAAGATGTGATGGCTTGGTGAACCTTTCCCATTTGCTTATCTTACTAATAATGCAACAAGCTCAAGAAGTCCTGCTGCAGATATTGCCTATTGTCAATCTCCAGAGGCAAGTACAGTGACATCCTCCAGCACATCACTAGAGCAGACAGAAGAAGAAACAAAAATTATGCTTTGTGGGAAAGAAAGAAACAGAAAGAGAAAGGGGAGAGGAAGGGAGGAAGGAAGGGAAAAAGGAAAGGGAAAAAAAAGGAAAAGGGAAAAAAAGGGAAAAGGGAAAAAAAAGGGAAAAGGGAAAAAAAGGGAAAAAAGGGAAAAAAAAGGAAAAAAAGGGAAAAGGGAAAGCCAGACCAATGCAAGTAGCAAGATGGAAGAGAAAGGGAAGAGAAAGGGAATGTTGCAGAATAGGGTTTGGTCAGGGAAGACAATAAAAGAGGAAAAGATCCGAAATAAATTTTATGCTCAAGAAAACAGTTACTCCTTTATCTCTGTCTTCAAAGTAACAGACTCATACATGCTGAAAAAAGGCAGGTACTGTCCTACTCTCCTGCTCTCCTGGTGCGTTTGAAGCTGACAAGATGTGATGGCTTGGTGAACCTTTCCCATTTGCTTATCTTACTAATAATGCAACAAGCTCAAGAAGTCCTGCTGCAGATATTGCCTATTGTCAATCTCCAGAGGCAAGTACAGTGACATCCTCCAGCACATCACTAGAGCAGACAGAAGAAGAAACAAAAATTATGCTTTGTGGGAAAGAAAGAAACAGAAAGAGAAAGGGGAGAGGAAGGGAGGAAGGAAGGGAAAAAGGAAAGGGAAAAAAAAGGAAAAGGGAAAAAAAGGGAAAAGGGAAAAAAAAGGGAAAAGGGAAAAAAAAGGAAAAAAGGGAAAAAAAAGGAAAAAAAGGGAAAAGGGAAAGCCAGACCAATGCAAGTAGCAAGATGGAAGAGAAAGGGAAGAGAAAGGGAATGTTGCAGAATAGGGTTTGGTCAGGGAAGACAATAAAAGAGGAAAAGATCCGAAATAAATTTTATGCTCAAGAAAACAGTTACTCCTTTATCTCTGTCTTCAAAGTAACAGACTCATACATGCTGAAGACATAAAAAGTAACCTCATTTTTCCTAGTCAAATGTTGGAAAATCAGGAAAAAAAAAAAAAAGTACACTTTCTAACTCAACATTCTCAGCCCCAAGAGGACCCCAACAGTTTTCACATAGTGATTGAGTTGCTCCATCTGTTCAAAAGAATTGCAAAAACGTCATTAGAACTGACCCATTTGACAAGTTTGAGATTTTCTTCAGCATCTTTTATTTTTTTTTACCCTTCATACAGGGACCACTGATAGTGTTCTGCCTTAACTGGGGCTGTTAAAGCTTAGAAAATGGAAACACTATTTTCATGGAGGCCCTAGTCTACTATGAAGTTTCAAATAGCCTTTGGTTTTGATGAAGTCTGTGGATTGTTGCTGTGTGTTCTAATTAATGGCAAATAAATAAATAATCATTGATACTGAAATCAACATATAAGAGCTCCAGTTTCCTAATTCAACATTTTTCTCACTGAACACACTTACCTATAACAAGGCTTCTGATCTCTTTCCATTTCCACTGCTAGTTAGAAGTGAATTTCAATTTTATTAACAAAACATCTTTTTCCCCATGTTTTTTTTCCCTCAAGACAAACATCTTCCTAATTTGCCTCATCTGAAGCAATACGGCCAATCTTTTGAATGTCATACTCGAAAATTCTTAAAAGCAGTGCAGTGCAAAAGGCCACCCCTGTAATTCACTTGAAGAAGTGAAAATGAGCTCTCAGTTGTACTAACCTCAAGCAGACAGCAATGGAAATAGAGTATTTCCTACACCTGCCCTGGAAAGGAATGAGGGAAGTAGATATCTTTGTCATACTGCTAATGATGAGGAAGAGATTACTGGGATTTCATTAGCTACATTCTTTGAGACTATATTTAACTGGTAAGTGAAAACTCTGCTCATTATCTAGAACTGACTGCTAACTACCCAACCTTCTGCTACACTCTAATGAGTCACAGAACTTTGGCATTGGTGATAAATATTAGTTCTCTATTTATATGGTGATAATATTCACATTCATATGGATTATAGCAAGGACAAATTGGAGTAGATCTGTGGTCTTAAGGGAGAATGTGCAATTCAAGACTAATTCATAGCATTTTAAGAACATACAAGAACAAAGCTGACTCACTAATGTTTTGAGACTATCAGTCCATCTAGCTTTGTGTTTAAATGGTCACAGCAATTCACACCACAGCAATACCAGCATTTTCTAAGTCTGTCTTATTACAGACGTGATCAAAATTACGTTTTAAGCACTGAAGAACTACTGTCATTGATCTTGAGCTTTTACAGAGACTTAA